GTTTTATGTTACATTAGTTCTAGGTCTTGCACTCTCCTCTTTCTTACTTTTGCTCTAGACATATCTAACACTTTATTACTTATTTCTACTTATACTAACTTAATTCAACTTATCTCCGATTCTCTTTCCTTGTTATTGGTCAATCCAAAACTCCCGTCCAATGTGCCAGTTTGCAATGGTCAGGTTAGGTGAGAGATAATACACATTAAAAATACTATTTGTTTAAAGTACCAGGATTATGCAATCATGAGTGCAGATCACTAACTCGAGGACTTTACGTAAGGAGAAAGGGCCTTTTGTTTTGTTTGTTTGTTTGTTTGTTGTTAAGAGCAAATTTACACAGTGAGCTGTCTGTGCTGTGACCACCATGGGTATTGATAAACATTTTTTTTGCGTCATAAGCCTACAGACTTACCCCTGAGCCACTGGGAACAAGAGTAAGGACTCAGACAGAGAGCTCAAATATCCCGAAGTGCAATTTTATTTACTGCAACATACAATAACAAATAATATATAAAAGAATGTCACACATGGAATAGGCTACTTTTATAGACTTTTAGTGAGATTCTTAATAATAATTCAATCACTTTAATCAACAAATTGGTTAAGCTAATAATCTTAGGTTTAACAGAATAAATAATTATGTTGCCAAGTAATACGTGAAACAGCAATTTAAATTACGTGAAAGTGGAAATGCTGAAAACTCACCATGATGACTTCACAGCTGGAAGGATTCTCTGAAGACTCAAGCAAACTTTCCTGTACGTTACTGGTGAGATTAACTTACTGAGTTTTTAAAATATCTTTTATAGTACTGGAAGCATGATGTTTCTCTAAGATTCCAGAACCAGAACAAAGTAGCTCATGGTCATATTACTTTTAGTTGTCTGCTCATCCCAGGGCATAGCAGCTAAAGGTCCTTGGTTCATACAAGCCTGGGTAACCATTGACTTTGCATTTGTTTTACTGGCATCAACATTTACCCTGAAAACTCTGGTTTCCCTGTAAACATCTGCTGATTTCCTTACTAATGAGCTCCTCTCAGGATGTGTTATACAATCTCTGACATATTTACCAATTTCATTTTTCACTTTCATAAACATTCTTTCAACTTGATAAATAATCAGTATAGTTGGCTAAAAGAATTCCCAGCTGGAAGTCTGGTCTTTGTATAACACTTGTTGCTATCTCACATACCACTGGCGCCTGGTTTCATTATAAGGTCAGCTATATAAAAACCGTATATTTAATAATCCTTAAGAAAAATAATTTTTTTCAATATTATAAGGTCATGCTTCTCATCCAACTCTCTTGGGAATCAAATTAAGGTTGAACAATATCTTCCCAAAATGATGCCCTATAAATGCTTGCTTGTGTAAAAAACTAAAGAAACACATCTGACAACATAGTTGCCATTAAATATTAGTAAAAATCTAAATATTATATGTAAAAAAACAGTTACCAGTGAACTATTAATAACTATACAACTACATGTTAAAATACAGTTATCATCAAATATTAGTAAATCTCAATAAAACACAGTTACAACCAGTTATTACTAAAACATCTAGACAAATATACATTAATACATAGTTACTAGCAAATATTTGTAAACATACTAGTCACATATACGTTAAAGTACAGTTACCATCGAATATTAGTGAAAACATTAGACAAATGCACGTGAAAACACAGTTACGATTGACTATTAGTAATATGGAACTAGAAACATACATGTGAAAATACAGTTAACAGAAAACATTAATAAAAACGTTAGACAAATACGCGTGAAAACACAGTTACCATCCAATGTTACTGATAACTAAACAAACATGTGTAATAACATATTACAATTAAATATTAATAAAAACTAAATAAATACATATAACAACCCAGTTGTCACAAAATATTGATCTTAAACTGACAAATGTATATAACAACAAAGTTGCCAGTGAAATATTAATAATAGCTAGTCAAATACATGCGAAAACACAGTTACTAGTGAAATATCAGTAATAACTGGACAAATACAATTAACAATACAGCTTTCTTTGAATGTTAATAATAACTGGACAACACAGTTACCAGCACAATATGAAAAGTAACAGGTAAATACAGTAGTGACACACTTACCAGTAAAATATGAAAAGTAACAGGTAAATACAGTAGTGACACAGTTATCAGCAAAATATGAAAAGTAACAGATAAATACAGTAGTAACACAGTTACCAGACAAACAGCTTAAGTTATAATATTAAAATATACAAACATTAAGTATTCCTAGCTTATGATCTTCACCTTGATTATTGCACAATTTTCGATTTTCTACTGTTACTATTCTGAAATTAACAGTTATTAATCAAACACCAATAATTACTATCTTGCTAACTTAAGATATTATCGCGACACGATTTTTCAGAATATTAAATCATAAATATAATTTTTGTAATACAATAAATATTGAAGGCAAAAAATAATGAAAAGGAAAAACTATAACTAAGTAATTTATATAACTTGTCAGTTATATATTTATATGCCCCCCCCCAGTGGCACAGCGGTATGTCAGCATACTTACAACGCTAGAAATCGGGTTTCGATACCTGTGGTGGGCAGAGCACAGATAGCCCATTGTGTAGCTTTGTGCTTAATTCCAAATAAACAAACAATATATTTATATTTTACACATCCACACCAACATATATATATATATATACATATATATATATATACGTGTGTGTTTGTGTGC